CCACGATATTTATTTATTGATTAAAAAGTGGCATATGCTACACTTGGACAATCAGGACGACTTCGATCTAAATTAGGGTCCGCATTGTTGTTTCCAAAGTTTGGAAAAATTTTCGACATCTTTTTTCGCATTATCTCCGATGATTACATAAATAAATTATCAAAATTAAAAAACTAATGAGAACTAAATATTTATTAAACTATTGAATTTTAAGAAACGTACCGCAGTTAACTTCTCATCGGACAGCTCTCTAGGGAATACCGGGTTCACCAGAAAATACAAGCTTCTCATAATCAGTTCCCAAGTATTTTTCACCGGTCTGTCAATCAAATGAAATGACAGGTCTACCTCTGGAAGTCTGCCCGACAAACACAAAATTCTCTTTCAGAACTTGGTCAGCGTAAGTCATCCTGTCCTACAGACACACGATACACATTGGTAGCTGATTGAAAAACTTAAAAACAACAAGGCGAGAAGGCTAATGAGAGGGCTCATTAGAAGGCTGATCGAAAAACTTAAAAACATCGGTAGCTGATTGAAATTGAATTTCAAAAACCCCCTTGAAGCTACTTTGGTAAGCATTTTAATACCTCCTTGATTTCCTTGACCAGCCATTAAGTGGTCCAATTTGTGCCAATTAAATCAGCCATTTATGGGATGATTTAGGGTAATTGATCCTACTCTCAAGCAAGGCTCCTCTATCAATTATACCACGCGATCTTCTCGAAGCCACGATCTTCTTCTCTAAGCCAGACCAATATTCTCTTCTTGTTTCAGCCTTGAACTACAACAGAAAGGAGATATCACCATAGCCTCCATCCTTTTTTGGCCGACGATTTACCCACACGCGAGCAGCCGCACCCGACCTCCACGGACAGCAGACCAAGCCCCTCGCATCTTATTCCTTTTTGCTGAATCATTGACAGATCCGAGTCGAAGCAGTTTGCTCGAAATTCCCAGCGACACTTCATCCGAGCCTTCAGTCCAAATCACTCAGACCTTTCTTTACCAGCAATGGATCGTACTCCGATTGGCCACCAATTTTCGGGACATGACGGTCCCGCCGTCGCTACACAGACCCCCCCAAGGTGCTCGATTCTCCGCGGCCACTCAGTCGGCCCCCATTAGCTGTTGTTTCAGTTGAGCCGTCATTTTTGAGGTTTCAGAGCTGAGAGTGGTCACGCCGTCGCCGTCCACCCGAAACCACAAACGTCCGTCCGCCATCAATAGCGAGAGCTGGTCCCCCGACCGTTCGCCACCAGAGCCTTACAGACCGACCGTCGATCGCAGATATGTTCAGAGGCGGGCCTCTTAGCCGCTCGCCAACCCCGTGAACGAGCGCAGCAGCAGCCGAGTTCCAATTGCCGGCGACCCATAGCCGTTGTCACCTCCCAGTCGCGAGACATCGCAGCGCCATCCAACCGTTCGAGGACAGCCATCACCGACGAGCACGCACAACCAGAACTTTGGTCAAGATGCAAACACCAAGCCACCTGCAACCGTCAGTCGTTCAGTCGCTAGTTTCCTCTTGTCCGACGCCACCAGATCCCGACGAAACCACCTTCAATTGGTCGTGCGTCAGCCTTGTCAGCCGCAACCGCTCCTTAAGGCTGCCGGTCGTCATCCTGCCGCCGTCAGCTTTATCTCACGGGCGTAGCCGCAGACGAACCCGTGCGAACTGTCGCCGTCCTTCGGCCGTTGTTATTTCGTCCGTCGTCGACGCCTGTTGCCGGAAGCCTAGGCGGATGCGTGAAGAGGAGAAGCAAAAAGATTATCGGGAATTGAGTTTTAAGAGAAAATCTATGTGTTATTATATTATTATTATATAAAGAGGTAACCTAAATAATTCTAAAATAGTAAGCGAAAAATAAATGAAAATCCCGCCTAAAAACTAACTAAATATAGTAATTTTCTTTTGAAATTTTTCACTTGCCGATTTTAAGTGGATGCTTTTACTTTTTTGCTAATTTGAAATTTGAAATTTTGTGGACGAATTGATGATTTGATTTTCAAAATTTAGTTGATGTTTCCAAAATTTAGTTTGTGGACGATTTCATTTCATGACAAATAAATAAATAATAAGAAAATGTATGTCAACTTTATTGTGAAGTGGAAAATATTAAATAAATATTCATGATAACCTTAAATACTTATCTCTAACACACTAATCTATGACACATATATATCTTATCCATATAAATTCATAATTTGGGTTTATCATCTCTAATATATGTTAAACTGTTATGCTTTTCTCTGCATATCAAGTTTATGCTTATCTCTACTTCAATAGATAAGACACGTGCTTATCTAACACATAAATCCATCTATAAATATATCTTCAATTGCTTATAGCATCATCTATTAACCTACGGTAAAATACTCACCAATTCGTCTTCTTTAGCTTGGTTTATATTTCTTCTATTATCTGTTTACTACTGACTTTCTTGATGTTTCAAGGAAACTAACAAGAACAAATATGCTAGATGGAGAATTAAGAAGCAAGAAGCCACACAACCCTGAAAAAAGTAAAGAAAGATAAGTCGTAAAGAAAGCAAACGAACATAAGGCTGACGAGAAAGCATCATTCACCAAACGAGAAAACATCATTCAGGGTTTTCGTCATCTCATTTGCTTTGTCCATATTTCTTTTATTTTCCGGTACGTCATCTCATTTGCTTTGTCCATATTTCTTTTATTTTCCGGTTAATATTGTCTATCCTTTATTCAAAACTATACAAACATGCACTAAAATATTATCAATTCTAATTAGTCATTTATTGTCTATTTTCAGTTCTACCAGCATGATATTTGAGGGATATTAACAAGAACAAATATACGAAATGGAGAATTCGGATGCCAAACGATGCTGAAAAAGTAACGGGAAGACGAGTCGCAAAGCAAACGTGAAAACATAATTCCAGTTCCAGGTTTTTAATGAAACAATAAGTTTTTGTATTGTTTAAGTAATTGTACCTTGTATACTTACTGTGTAAAAAGGTGCGGTTGACATGTTTATTCTTGATCTAAGTTATTTTATTTGGTTCTCCAACGCACGAGACAAAATAAAATATATCATGTTATTATAAAAACATTACAAAATAATCAATATACAAAAATTTAGTACAATAATTACTTTTACGTTCTTTTAGTTGTCAATCTGCCAATTTGACTTGATATCCCTGCCACAAATCTCATGCAAAAACGAAAGTATAATAGATGAAATATCACGCACAAGGATCTTTGTGTGCGATTGACATTTTTATTATCGATCTAATTATTGTGTATTTTCAATTTGCTTCTATCAGGCACTTTTGTTTCAGACAAAAAAAAAAATCTCATGTGATTATAAGAACTATACAAATAGATGTTATATAAATCAATATAGAAGAATTTAATTAGAGAATTACCTTACTATGGTGTTGTGGCGAACTTACTTTAGGTTTCAAACCCTTATGCATGATTCTGCCAATGTTCCTTGTGTATATACGCACTGTACCACATGCAAAAACATTGTGGAATGTATAATAAATTAGACCAATAACAGTATAAGAAACACAATTAAATTATATACAAGAAATTATCTTTAATGTTGAAGGAAACTCAGTTATCATAAAAGGTTTCTAAATGCATCAACTCTTAACAAATATTATATTTCTGTCTTCATCTGGTTATTATGGTTCCTAATATAGTGAAGCAATAAAACTAATTAGAATTGTACTTTTATTAATTATGGTCTTTTGATCTAATAACAAAATAAAATTATTTACGCAAAATAAAACTAATTATGGTCTTTTGATCTAATAACAAAATAAAATTATTTACACAGATAAAAAAGTATATATAACATTCTAGTATACAAAATGATATTAAAGACATAAAAAATCAAGCTTATGAACAACATTATTCATGCGGTTCATATACAAAATCCTTTAAAAACAAGCAACATGCACAAAACAGATCTTAAATCCTTTAAAAACAAGCAACATGCACACAACAGATCTTTAAAGAGTCGACATCAAAACAACAAAATCAGTCCGGATTTAAAAATTACCTGTGCCGATCCCACTCTGTATCTCGAGCTGATCAAGATTAACATCTTTAGCCGGTGAGCTATATTTGGAAACCGGTCGGGGTCTGAAATGCATTACTAGCCGCACCAATCTGCGATGAATTGCCGAGTAAATATATCAGAACTGGACGCGCCTGTGGCTCGGGACCAGGTGAGGGAATCAGCTAAATAAAGAAAATGGGAAGAGACATTACCTTTCCGACAAAATGGAGCGGCCTTCCTTTGAATCGTCTTGGAGCCATCGTCAACCACCAGCTCCCGCTATCCTCAGGAATTGGCCGGATTTGTAGATCTGGCGAATGGGTTGGCCAGAACAAAAGAGACGAAATTAATGAATTATAGAACAAAATAGGTTTGCCCGATTTGATTTTCAGAAAAAATTATGGAATTGAGGAAAATTGAGTCGGTGCCAATTATAAATGGGTGTGTTGGGCTAAAAAGTCATGCGTTCCTGAAATTGTTATGTTATGCAGAAAAAAAAAAAAAAAAAATTGAGATAAATCGGCCCTTTATATGTTATATACTAGGAGAGAACCTGTCGTGCACAGCACAACTAGGCCCACGACAGGGAGTTAGTTTATGTTTAGAAAGAAAAACAATACTGTATTTTTCTCTGTTTAACTACAAATATATAATTTTGAATAGATTATAACCCATGGAGAATAGAAATGATTTTATATTAAAAATGAAATAATATGGATTTGAATTAGTGGAGTTGATAATAGCGTACATATCATTAAAGGTCACTTGTCTATAGAGAGTCAATATCGAAATGTCGGAATGATTTCTTTTCCTCCAATTACAGCCACTACCTGAGGCAAATTCTTCTTGCCCTATAAAATGTTATTAAGAGAAAATATGTAATCAAAATTGAAGAGAACAATTAAGAAAACACTATGACTGCCTACTGCTACAGAAACTTCTATAAAATATTAAAACAAAAGAAACGTATATTTCTATATCTTTCTTGTTTCGAACACCCAAATTCTTATGTGAGACAACTTAGGCGGATCGACCCGTCATACTATTTAAACAAAAATGCATATCTAAACTATTGAATTTCAAACTTTCTTTTATGATATTTTGGGAATGAAAAAGTACATATTAGTATAAAAAAAGTATACCGACTCAATGGTTAGGTCGGCATAATATAAGACCAACCACAACAAATAAAATGTGAAGAATATTAATATATCTAAATAGAAAGCATCAACATTTGAAGATCATTAAAAATAAAAAGATCATGCCTAATCACATAAATATAATTACTTCAACACAAAACAAGGACAACTATCTTGAAAAATCGAAAAATGAAAGTTTATCTTATTCAATTATACACACATCGTTATATAACAACACAAGCTTATGAATGCAAGTGCTTTCAAATGCATTAAGTGATAAATGAAAGACTTACAAATTAATGCTATGCTTATCATTTTTGTTATGGTGTGACTCTCCCACCTAACAAAGAACCGCAAACAATGTTCTCCCGTCAATGAACACTTGTGTAAACTTGATGTAGCACTAAAAATAACTCGGTGGATAGCCTGGGCGGTTAGCCCGGATAAGGCCGGTTCAATGAAGCTCAGAGCCCATTTATGCGATATATGGTATGGGTTAAAGATATTCGAAAAATATTCCTAAAATATATTTAAGTTTGTATATATCCACACAGTGATTTGGGAGAGTTAGACTCCTTGTTGTTAAGGAAACCTTTGTCTTGCGGAGTAAGCCACTAAATCCTTATAAATAAGGATTTCAGGTTCATTTTTCTAATTCTAAGCTCTTAAGATTGCTTAAAATACACGATCAAAATATCTGTTTTCTGACTTGAGCCGGGGCCCGCCCCCGGTGCTTTGCAGGTTGATCCGGTTCTTGAAGAAGAAGGCGATCGATACATTCGAACTCTCACACCATCGAGATGAGGCGGTTCGATCGACAACCTCAGTGAGTCGTTTATTTTGGCTCATCAAAACTAGTACGAAATATTAATAGTATTTTTTATATGCAATCGTTACCTACCTGAAAAATAGTCAAAAAATGTGAAATTTGATATATATTTGATAATTGGTACTACATATCTACACCGAAAACTTAGAGGAGCATGCTCTATATGCAGGGGCAAATGAACCACAAGAAACAGAACTCGTTGAGAGCCAAAATTGTTGTTATATTGACAACATCATTTTTTTTTTTTTTTATTTGGTCCTACATTCAGTAGAAACCACGAGCAGTAGATTTTAACAATCTCAAACTATTCTAGTGGATAGTTAATGATAAACCCAAAGATCTCTACTACAAATTTTTCTATTATTTAAACATGCAACGTGTGCTCTAAAATAATTCAACCAACAATTTATTATTGATAACGACAAAATCTTTGATATTTCAGTCTCAATTAAGACCATCCCACTGAAGAATTTGAAACAAGTTTAACTAAAAACATGTCCCATATGACATTAAACAGTTGAAAACCATAGAATAAAAATCAAGACTACCAAGTGACCCACTGAAACATGTGATACGAAGAAGAAACACACAAAAAATAGCCAACAAAAAGTACTGCAATTGCGACTTAACCTACGAATAACTGAAACAATAGAAAAAGTTGCAAATCGATATATAAAAAATAATAAAAAAAATAGAAACCGAACATTTGCCCGTAGGGTGGCACTGGCAGCCGAAATTCACTGTAAATGCCATAATCGTTATACTGAAAAGTAGGAAGTGAGTTTATTAGATAACAAAACCGCAGCATAAAAATTGAAATAAAATGAAATACTCATCTTCAGATATATATATGTCTACGCACAGGACAGAGGGCGGGTGTTGAGAATGAAGTGATTCCGAGTAGTGCCCGACCTGCCAATTTTCATCCCTATTAAGGACGATTGCGCTTAAGAGGCTCTCGAAAGTGTGGCTCTTCTCACCATCAATCAAGTCTGCAAACCTCACCGACATTGAGGCCACCAGAAAGGCTAAAATCTTCCTAATTGAGGTGGGTCATTTTGAGGCTAGTTTGTGAATTCGAGTGGCTAAAGCATCTAATTTGCTTTCTCCGATTTGCTCCCCGAGGCTTCATTTTGAGGCTAGTTTGTGAATTCTAGGGGTTTCAATCGGGAACCAAAAATGAAAAAGGCCAGAAATATCGATGAATAAATTCATAACACAATGGGCGAGGAAAGAGAAATATACAAACACTAAGGGCAAAAAGGTCAATGTATTGTTGTTAAGGCAACGTGTCAATACGAGATGCAATATGCTACAGTGTTTCAGACTCCTACAGTGTTTCAGAGAAATATACAAACACTAAGGGCAAAAAGGTCAATGTATGGTTGTTAAGGCAACGTGTCAATACGAGATGCAATATGCTACAGTGCTACAGACTCCTATGTTAATTAACTCAACGTGTCAAGTTGAGTTAATTATTTAGGCATATAAATATTATTAGAAATGAAAAAATTACTATAAAGTTGAATGTTAAAACATAATATGTGTTTATAAACATGACTTATATAAATTAAAGTGTAAGTAATTGATAACATGTACAAAATTATAAATACTACCCATGTACAATATAAGTAGGTGGTTGTAAATATCAAATATTCCCAACAAGATACTTTAATTATACTTAACAAAAGCAGTGACTTGATAATATTCTTAGCATGATACATACACCAAACTAAGTGGCACCACATAAGATTCTTAGCATGACACTTTAAATATATACATCAAAAAAATGTTAGATGCTGCATAGTGTTCAGGAACATATTCTAGGGGATTCATTCTAGTTATATTAGTATTTATTAAGTCTTTGGGTTTGATGGCTTAATAATACTAATATATAATCAGGACCAAAGACAAAATAGTATTGTTTGAGTGATACAAAAGTCATTGTATAAGTCATACAAAAGTTGGTCAAGATTTGGGTGTTTAGTGTTCAATCTAATTTGTCCCTCGGTTTCTTGTGCAAAACCGATCCTTGGCCGGTTTTTGAAGGTGAACATGGTAACCGAGATGCAATATGTGAGGAATAGAAAAATAAATATATTTTGCTACAGTGTTTCAGACTCCTATGTTATATTATATTACACTAGTGGTCTACCGGCTATTTTAATTACTTCATACATTTTTTTTTATATGGACGTCATCGTCATCGTGCCTATTTGTAAATTGAGAGCTCAATGTTTAAATTACTTCATATAAATCCATCATAAATGTAGGAGTCCCACAACACAATAAAATATCCAACAATAATCAAAAACGTCTAAAGAAAGTGTTTATTTCACCATAATATCATAAAAGGTGCGTTCAAAAGCAAGAGATTACCATTGACCTAATAATCTACCCAATATAACATTCCCTTCTTTTGTTTTTATATTCACTAAACAAACTAATAACAAATTAAGAAATATACCAAC